TGACTGTTGGATAGACGTTCAGTAGACCCATCAGATGAGGTGTCACATGGTCCCTGTTTGTATTTGAAAAAATCGTTTATTTCGTCATTTCTCCAGCACCGGTGACGTAACATCTTCATATCATGGGATGAGGCTTCAAAAATTATAACGTATTTCTGGATTTTTTTCAGAGGTCACCCATTTCTGGAATGAATCTATTCCATAATTTCGCATCATACTGTAAGTTGTTTTCTTATTACTCTATATTCCTCTCATCAAAATAATATGGTAAATTCTATGTTGTTGATAATACTAATTAACGAAAACTGAGTGCATTCACTATTACGTATCTGATTACGTATCACATAATTAGAAATCTGTCGAGACATGCTTCTATGAGAGTGTATTTAATATAAGGCTCGATATAGTTTATTCATTTAGAAATAGCGAGTGATTCTATTTGTTCGTGCAGAGATATTACATATTATGTAAGTGCGAATTTGCTAGAATTATTGTTCAAAGTCTCCAGAGATTTTTTGTGAACCTTTGTTTGCATTTCTAAAATATTGCTACATTTCTGGAATCTATTCCTTACAACGTAATAGGGAAAAATTGGCCAAAGATGCATTCAATTTACGGTAGAAACAATATGATACATGAGAAAATTCGGCTACATATGAATGGCATATCTTTATGATTGCATAAACTTAACACATGTATTTAAGGTCAGGAGCAAAAACCTAATGGAAATATCGCAATTATCATAACATGATTGAAGTGTTCATCAATTGGCACAAGGAAAATCAATTCTATAATGAAATCATTGTTCATTTCGTTATGCTCAAATAAATGATGTACCTTGTTTGAATGGGAGAATACCTTTGTTTTCGTTCCAAAGGAAATTTAGTGAAATAATTAGTTTTTCTGTGCACTACAGGATGAGAAAATCTTGATTTTGTGTACACCATGTGTCTATCAAAACCCAAATGATCCATGTGATTTTATTAGATATAATTTATTTTTCTGAAATTGTGAGTTGATAATTAAAAAAAGTGAGAGAAAAACAAACAAAAAATATATAGATAATGAACTTTTACAATTTTAGCGAATTGAACTTATAACTAAATGAAATAGCATTTGGTACATTTTCTTATTTACTGACTAATAACATCTATATATCAATAAAAACATTATTCATTGATGGTGAATGAGCGCAGTTTAAGCATGCTCCATATAAAATGAGAGATAGTTTTCATCATGTCTTTGGAGGGGTTTTCGAGAGCATTGATCGAGGTATCAAAACTGGACAAATGATCACTGTATGAAGCTGATGGCTTATAAATGGAACACTCAAGAATCAAGTGTGTATTTCCAAAATATGTTGTATCTTGGAATCGGGTTTGAAATATTCACTACAAATGATCAGAAAAATGTTAGGTAATGTGACAGAAAATATTAACCACCAAGGAGAGCTTTCAAGTATGTTAGCGTTGAGGGTGTCCTTGAAAAATACGCAGAGACCTTCACTTGCACGTCCTTCCGATTTTCCTTTGTAGCGGGGAATAAGATATTGTTATAACCAGGAAGAATCATTGGAGTTGGTGAAGTTTCCGCGGTTAACCATGTTTCGCATAAGCAGAGTATGTCGAAATCGACGTGATCACTAATAAGGTCGTTGAGGCTGGAGATACCATCGCAATTCCAGAACGTAATATTCAGTTGTTGCTATTGGGCGCTTCCACTAGGCTGATCAGGTAGTTGAGATTTGGTAATTTTTGAACCGTGAACTCGAGGAGGAGATATTTCTTCTTCACGGAGCCTTTTTCCTCGTTGAACTTCGGATATTTCTACTATAGTTGGGACATTGTTTACATACTTTATAGTGAAGTTGGACCTTCCTTGTCCATTCAAGTTCTTCAACTCATCACGCAGCTTGTTTAGGTGTTCGGTTTGTTTTGGGGTCATATCACTATTGAGTTTAATGTTTGGGAATGCAGAGTTCGAGATTTTGTTCTTGTTTTTGAGAATCTGTATCACCTCATCAGTAGAGTTTAAAATTGCTTTGAACGGTCTAGGTCTGGAAGAGTTCGATTCATTTCCAAATCTAAATCCAGATTTTATATTGTTCCTGGAGTCGGGGTTGAGTGTATTGACAATTTCATTTGCTATTTTCATATCATCCTGTATCGAGATAGTTTCTGGTATACCGGTGATTATTATGTTTTTCTCACGTTTGGGGCGCTCTTTGATTACTGCATGGAATTCATCAGTGAGTTGTAATGTTTGAAGTTCGAAACCAGAGATTCTTTTTTTCGTCACTTCATCATCTTTTTTTATAATAGAGATAGCCTCCATGCATTGATTGATTGTAAGAGATTGAGCGGCTACAATGTTGCTGATGTTCTCTATTTTATCGGCTAGTGAAGAAACGGTTTTGGAAACGATATCAAGTCGATCCATTATCGCACTGAAATGGGAAACATTCAGTGGCTAATGAGCTGCCGCGGACTTATCATTCAGGCACGTTTCACAGGTCCACGCGATCTTTTTTTCTGCATCTGGTATCGGTCGAGCGCACTCCCTGTGTGCGATGATCTTGGTGTCAAATGTAGGAATTGTTGTGTTCATTATATCTACCGAACGGTCACAGGGCCAGATCGTTGTAAAAATGTTTAAGCACACACACGTTTATACTCCACAGCGGTTCGAACCTAACTCAATGTTAGAGGAATAGAATTAAATAACTTCACTATATTGTATGAGAAGGATCTGGTGAAAATAGCAGTTTTGTGGAAGGGAGGTGTGAGATTTCCTTTGGATCTTATATTCAAATTATGAACATCGGTACGGAATCTAATTTTCTTATACAGGTATTTCGGCATACAGCTGTTTATCAATTTATGGTATAGAATACCACAGTGGAGTGTTCGCCTGTTTATCATATTGAGCCAGTTTGCTTGCCTTCTTCTGATGCCATATATAAATCTCAGGCAGTAGTTTTGAATTTTTTGTATTCTTTGTCTTGTAGAGGCTGTAATATAATATCAATGAATTACAAAGCATAATTTTAATTTCTAAATTGAGAATATTTCCCGAATTATACAATAGTTTCAAATTAATGATGGCTCTTTTCATACAGGAAGATATATGGCTTTCGTATCTCATATCAGTATCAATTGTTAAGCCTAAAACTTTGACCTCTTCCACCAATGGTATATTTACATTGTTGATCTCCACATGAAACAAATCTGATAGTTTCAGTCTACCAATTTGTCTTCCGAAAAACATTGCTGCACATTTTGTTGGATTCAAGTGTAGAGAGTGTTCTAATGATATGCTATAAAGATTCTCAAGGTCATCATTAATGAATTTACAACTTTGCTGAAGATCTTCTGGATCAAAGGTGAGCATTAATTGAGTATCATCAGCATACATCTGAACATGGGAATTCTGAATGTAACATGGAAATGAAGACGTGTATATGATGAACAGTATTGGTCCTGATCGAACCCTGCGGAACGCCACTGGTATTGTATAGTGACTCAGAAATTTTATTATTGTATACCACCCTTTGACACCTGTTCTTCAAGTAATTTTCCAACAACTTTATCGCTTTGTGATCGAACCCAATAAATTTTAATATTTGTAATGAAGTATGATGCTGTATAGTATCAAATGCCTTTGAATAGTCTAACAACACCAATATTGAACATAGACCTGCATCTATTGAAGTTATGATATTGTCAGTTAAGTTAAGTAAAGAAGTTACACAACTATGTCCAGCCCTAAAACCAGATTGATGCTCAGGTATGATATCATTTAAATTGAGGTGATTCACTATTTGTTCATAGCACGTTCAATAACTTTTGACATAACCGGTAAAATGCTTATAGGCCGGAGTTCATTTAGATTTTTTAGAGGAGTCACTTTAGGAAGTGTAATTATATTAGCTATTTTCCAATGACTGGGAAACACGGCATTTATTAGACAGAAATTCACTAAGTGAGAAATGAACTCAAGAATGAATGGACAACACATTATCAGAAAGTTGATATGAATACCATCTGAGCCCACCGAGCGGGATCTAATACTATATAGCGATTTACCTATTTCAACGTCTGTAACTTTTTTAAATGTGAGCGGGGAAGATATAGTTTCTTTGACACCTTCGTAATAGTTAGGTAGAACATTATATAAATCGTTTCTTGTTCTGCCTGTTGTGTGCGTTATTCCCGATTCGATGTCAACTCATATGATCGTTGCGAACTACCATGCTCCAAAGGTATCCATGTGATATGATAGAATACAGAGATACAGTGTGCAGACTGATGTTGTCGAAGTATCTTCACTCGCCTATTGTTCTCGTTATATGTTTTCTGAGGTCGTCCTATATGGTCAGTGCGATCGTATCTGCTATAATTGTAGGCATAACAGATGCTAGAATGCGAAGTAACAGTGTAAATATAGTCGAAATCGAAGTTTCTTGTTCTGCCTTTTGTGTGCGTTATACCCGCTTCGATGTCGTCTTATATGATCGTTACAAACATATTTGCTCCAGGTATGTATGTGAGATGATAGAATACAGAGATACGAGATGACGAAGTATCTTCACTTGCCTATTGCTCTCGTTATGAGTCACTCAAAGTGGTCTTATATGGTCAGTGCGATCGTATCTGCTATAGCTGTAGGCATGTAAGATGAAAGAATGCGGAGTTACAGTGTAAGCAATGTCGGGGTCGAAGTTTCTTGTTCTGCCTGTTGTGTGCGTTATACCCGCTTCGATGTCGTCTTATATTAATGTTGCGAACTCATATGCTCCAGAGGTATCCATGTGAGATCATAGAATACAGAGATACGGTGTGCGGACTGATAATGTCGGAGTTTCTTCACTTGCCTATTGTTCTCGTTATATGTCCTTCGAAGTCGTCCTATATGGTCAGTGCGATCGTATCTGCTATAGCTGTAGGAGTTACAGTGTAAACATAGTCGAAGTCGAAGTTTCTTGTTCTCCCTGTTGTCAGCGTTATTTCTATTCAGGAAATACTAGACATTGTCTACCTATAAGATGTATAACCGACTTATTATCAAGATTGATAAATTCGAAGTTTTGGCGAACACGCCGGTTTTCCGACATTTGATTGTTGGAATCGAAGTTTTTGATAGATATTAAAAAGTATAGTACTCCACTCGCATATAATGAGCTGTCATTTATACTCCTTGAATGAGCATTTGAGATGTTAGAATGCAAAGTTACAAAGAAAACATAGTCGAAGTCGAAGTTTCCCGTTCTGCCGAACGTTGTAATAAGTTGCGAACTTATATGCTCCAGAGGTATCTATGTGAGATGATAGAATACAGGAGATAAAGTATACAGACTGATGTTGTCAAAGTATCTCACTTGCCTATTTTTCTCGTTGTATATCCTTCAAAGTCGTCCTATATGGTCAGTGCGATCGGATCTGCTATAACTGTAGGCATGTCAGATGCTAGAATGCAAAGTTACAGTGTATACATGGTCGGAGTCGAAGTTTCTTGTTCTGCCTGTTGTGTGCGTTATACCCGTTTTGATGTCATCTCATATGATCGATGCGAACTGATATGCTCCAGATAAATTCATGTGGGGTGATAGATACAGTGTGCAGACTGATGTTGAAATATCTCCACTTGCCTATTGTACTCGTTATATGTCCTTCGAAGTCATCTCATATGGTCAGTTCGATCGTATCTACCATAGCTGTAGGCATGTCAGATTCTAGAATGTGAAATTACAGTGTGAACATATTCGAAGTCAAAGTTTCTTTTTCTGCTAATTGTGTGAGTTATAACCGCTTCGATGTCGTCCTATATGATCGTTGCGATATTATATGCTCGGGAAGTATCCATGTGGGATGATAGAATACAGAGATACAGTGTGCAGACTGATGTTGTTGAAGTATCTCAACTTGCCTATTGTTCTCGTTACGGGTCCTTCAAAGTCGTTTTATATGGTCAGTGAGTGCGATCGTCAGATGCTAGAATGCTGAGTTACAGAGTAAACAGAGTCGAAGTCAAAGTTTCTTGTTCTGCCTGTTGTTTGCGTTATTCCCGATTCGATGTCAACTCATATGATTGTTGCGAACTACCATGCTCCAAAGGTATCCATGTGAGATGATTGAATACAGAGATGCAGTATGCAGACTGATGTTGTCGAAGTATCTTCACTTGCCTATTGTTCTCGTTATATGTTTTCTGAGGTCGTCCTATATGGTCAGTGCGATCGTATCTGCTATAATTGTAGGCATGACAGATGCTAGAATGCGAAGTAACAGTGTGAATATAGTCGAAATCGAAGTTTCTAGTTCTGCCTATTGTGTGCGTTATACCCGTTTTGATGTCGTCTCATATGATCGAGGCGAACTGATATGCTCCAGAGGTATCTATGTGAGATGATAAAATACAGAGATACAGTGTGCAGACTGATGTTGTCGAAGTACCCTCACTTGCCTATTAATCTCGTTATATGTCCTTCAAAGTCTTTCTACATGGTCAGTGCGATCGTATCTGTTTCAATTGAGGGCATGTCAGATAATAGAATTCAGAGCCACAGTGTATACATAGTCAAAGTTTCTTGTTCTCCCTGTTTTATGCGTTATTCCCGTTTCTCAAATGATCGTTGCGAACTGTGTAATGACAAAGTGTCGTTTTTTGATTGCCCAGGCTATTTCAGTGGAATAGGGTTGTGGTTCTTTGGACTGCCTTGCCAGTTTTTGATTTGTTTTATTGTGTCAAGCAAGGGGTTTTGAAATTACTTAGTGACTGGACGCCAGAATTTTTTGTTTATTGAATAGGATAAAAATTCAAAGTTCCTATGAATCAAAAAAAAGATAAATTTCCTTTCTACAATGGAACAATAAAACTATTACTCAATATATATACAATTTACTGAATTATATGAGCAATATACATAGTTTGATGAATGATTAATTTATACAAGGTCGTATGAGTGTTCTCATATGTGATGAATGAATGTTGTCAAGTATAAATGATAAGCCAAGATAACAATTATAACTTGAAATCAAATTCTAGCATGTCTTCTGCTATAACAAAAGAAACAACTCTATAGTGTCGCTGCTGAATCTGTTGGTGTTATGTTTGGAGAATACCTTGGTTGCTGGAGTTTTCCTAAAACTAGGAACCTGGATCTATCGTGACTCCTTAGGTATTTTATGTAGTCAGCTTGACATACACCAACCAGACTTCAAATGTTCGACCTCAACTCAGGATTGTGGATGTTTCAGGATCGTTGTAGTTGTCATTAATAGCATGAAAAACAATCAAGAATATTAGATTTCTGATAGACTTTTGTTGTTATAGAATTACAACTTGGCTTTATCCTTTGACAGACCTATATGATGATATGCTGATGTAAAAAAAAACAATGTTGAAGAAAGAAATGTTAAAGATAATAGAGGCTGATTATT